ACATTTCATATATCAAAATGCATACATGCACATATACCCTCATTATCATGATTTCTATCATTATCATATAACACATTTATTATATGATCTTGTACTTAACATTTCTGTATATCATATAATACATATAATATTATATAATTCATGTAACATATTTCATATCACCAAAACATATAAATCATATGTATTGTATTTGTTATTGTCTCTTTATTAGCCCCATGTACATTTTTGATAACTTAAGGTATTCGAGTACATTGAGGTTGTGCACAAATACTGTCACCACAGCTCGTATAAATTCCCACTAGGGGCACTGAATATTTATCTCGAAGGACCACTGTATATGTCCCGAAGGACCACTGTATATCCCTCGACTCTTGGCATGCCAACTATACCACTAGCTCTCATATCACATAACATGGGCATTATCATTTATATCATTTCACATATTCACATGTACATTTCACTTTTCATATGATTTCATAATCATATTTCACTTAGCTTATATCACTTTTATTGTGTTCATATAACATGTAAATCATTGTCATCTCTTGTTCTCGTATGCTTCACATACATCACATATATCACATATTCATATAGGCTCACGGTTTTATCATCTATATGTTATTTCCCATATACACTTTTATATCATATAAATATGTATCTCCTTATCACATAGCTTCTTATAATATCATTCACCTTTCCATTTATTTACATAAGCCACATATCATTTACAAGAACATATCCACTCATATAATCAAGCATACATATATTTTTTGGTCATTCATTTCATTCTCTATATCCTTATAATCAATACTCCATACACTATAACTATTGGAAATAGACTTATCACAAGTCCAATTCCTTATAATCCTATAAACTAAAATGCACTCATAAGAATCATATCTATCATTTAACATTTTTAGGAGTCACTTCTTACCATAGTAACTCCGTCACTGGCTCATCGTAAGCCAATGTTTTTCGATAGCACAAGTACAATTAAATTGCACTCACCTTAGCCTTGCTTTGATTCGATCCTAATTCTTTGATTGTTTCATAATTTGTTTAGGCTCAATATCTACATAAACATAATTTCCGAGATGAATATCATAAGCCTAAACCTTATAATTCAATACTAATAACTTGAGCTAATTTAATGAATCCAAAATTCAGTTTTCCTTTACGGGTGTATCGATACACTATGGGTGTATCGGTACACAGAATAGCTTCGAAATTCTCATGCATCGATGCACATTCAAAAATTGTCTTAGTGCATCGGTACACACTCAGAGTGCATCGATGCTCCTGCCCAGAATAGGCTATTTCATCCGAAAATTCATCAACACTTCACTAAATTTCCTCATATAAAACTCCTTTCATACCATTAAACTCAACTACTATTACTTAAACCAACTTATATCCATATAAACTATCTTTATCTTCCATATCTCATCATGATTCTTAAAATTAAGAATCATACCAAATTTTCCATGTTATCTAAACTTAATTCTAACGCTTTTAACTTCTTATTCTCATTGATAACAAGTCAAATTCATCCTCCAAATTCATTAAAACCTTCTTATTCAAAATTTCACTTAAAAAACCCATTTTCTTTAATCTTTCATAACTCCTTTATCTTTTGATTTTAAGATGACTTAAGCTTTCTTTAAGCTTAGTTATCATCTAATGATCAAAACCCAACTTAAAATTCAGCTAATAATCAAAAATTAAGAAATCTTACCTTTGCTCTTGAAGTCCACGGTGGAGAAGAAGAAAGCAAGAAGAAGAAGATAACTCTTCCCCCCACATGATTCATTCATATAATAGGAAAAAATATCTTTCTTGGCAAATGACCATTTTGCCCTTTAATTAATTTGATAATTACTAACAACTTTCAGGAAATATTTTTAAATAAGTCATTGAACCATTCAACTTTTCCACTTTAATCACCAAATTCTGAATTTTTACAATTTAGTCACTAACTCGTAGTTTGGGATGTTACATGTCATTAGACGAGACATATGCATGTATGATCACCTAAAGTGGAGCAAATTCATGATATAAAATTCAAATAATTAAGTGAATGGGCGATGATAATGATGTAGGATGTCGAAAACATTTAGCGGTGGTTTAAAATACTTACTAAAAGATGAAACCATTATTGATTATGTTAGGTTAGATATGATTGAATAGTTTTAAATTTAGTTTGTGTTTAATTTTATAATCAAAGTCGAATTTGAGAATCGATTACCCGTGATAAAAATTAAATCATTTTCACCGCACCTAAAATAAGTACCCTAAAAATTATGTTGTCTCAAAAAGTAACTTGAAGGATGAGGCTAGTAAAACAATGGTGAACAAATGCATAAAATAAACATGCTTAAATTTTAACTTAGAATCTTGTCAAAAATCTTGGATTTGGACCGAGCTGAAATTCATTAAAATATCAAAGCCTATCTTACTAATCAAATTTAGGACCTAATCAAAAGAAATTAAACTTATTAGGATTGGTATTCAATCATATTAATTAATTAAGGATGTATTTGTTATTGAGATTAAAATGAAGACAACCCAACGTCATGCAGCCCAGCCCAGAACTAAGAGAGAAACACGGGAATGAACTGATACATAGGACCAGAAGATGATCCCAATTGTAGGATGAAGATCGGCTGATTAAGAACTGTTGCAGTAGAAGATAAATTAAAGACACCTGCTAAAAAAATAATTGTTAGTGTCTTTATATTTAGTTATATGGTGAATCTTATACAAATCTTGAATGAAATTTTTTTATTCCTTTAATCTATTCTTCTTCTTCAATCTCTCGAATTTTCTTTTCATTTTTCTCAAGAAATTCACAGTCGACCTGTGACAATTTCAGATGTGTGCAAAACATTAAACATGAAACAATCTGCCTCAACAAAACGACTTATTTCTCAAAAAGGCGGCCGTAAGAATTCTAATGACTATATCATTTCTTGAAGCATTAGCAACAGAGAAAGAAAAGACATTGCTTTAGATGCATGAAAATACAATCAACAATTTCAACTCCACCACGAGGATGAGGTATGCAGTATGCGGACAAAGCTTATGAACACGTATCCATGGATGGGCTAAGCTTATGAATATGATTACAGATAAAAACTAAGAAGCGCTACAAGTTACGCGCTATAATTTCCTGACGCTCCATTTCAGCTCGGAAACTGGCAATAAATTCCTCAGCTTTGGCATCAATTCCATACAGCATGGGCGACCCCAATCCTACAGATTTCTCAGCACCACTTTCATTGCTTGTTCCCGCCTCATCAATTAGCTTCTTCCCATTCATCTTCTCCAACGGTTGCTGCTGAACATACCCCACCACTTCACTCACATCCGCCGCTTCTTTAAACAGCTTATCTATGTAAACCGGCGCCGCCGCTTTATTTCCGGAGAGGTAGTAGCGTCTGTACCCAAAAGGAAGAATACGACGTCTCTTCTTGCTCTTAAACTGAAGACGGCGTGTGGAATTGGAAGTAGGTATTTGCAGGCGGGTATTCTTATTGGGTTTTTTGATAGCTTTGGATTTGTGAAGCTTGTGTAGTCTGGTTTGGAGTATGGAGGAGAAGCTTTTCCATGCCTTCTTGCTGGAGGAAGCCTTATTCTCAAGCAAGACATGAACAAATAATGGGAGCAGAGAACTGCAAAAGGGTGTAAAAACTGCCGCTTTATAAAAGATTAGTATTTGCTCCTATTGTTATGTGATTCGTATTCTTTATGGGACTCGCTTAGGTATTACGCTATTTGCTTGACGCAAGATATAATAATCAGATAATGGAAGATTAGTGGTTGGAAGGTAATTTTTTTGTTGAGTTACAATGTAGTATTTATTTTAAATATTTTTAATTATTTGATAATAAATGTTTAGTCATTATTTCAGTCGCTAATGTTTGATCGCACGATCTCTAAGAACAACAACTTAATTAAGTTAATTTGTGTTTGGAATGTAAATTTACTTTATTTAATTAAGCTTAATAAAGCGGCTTAGATCCTAAGCTAATTTAACCGACAAGTTGGAATTAACATTCTTCTTATAGTTAATTAATGGTAAAAAAGAAATACGCTTTAATTGAATTTCCACGAATGTATGCTTAATTGACACAACTTTTTTCTTTATAGGACGAATCAAATAAATTCGGTACGAATGAATTGTTGTTATTCTTTGAGGTTTGAGTTTTGAGCACAAAAATATTATTAATGTGAGCGTTCATATCAAATGATGATATTTATCTTTAAATCGATATTATCTTGTACTTATCCCCACTATTAAAAAAAAAACGTTTTTCCTTGAAACCCACTTGTTGGTTCAAAAGATACGTATAGGTTATCTTGCTTTTGCATTTTCACAATATACCTCGTATTAGTTGAAAGTATCGTAGCAGCCAGTTGTCACCCTTCATTACTGATAATATGTTGAGAGCATATTTTCTTTATATCCAACTTCATAAGACTACGTTGCAAATAATGTTAACATACATTATTATGAGAGAGAGAGAGAGAGATTGAACTATTGGAGGGATCTTAACGGCCCAGATCCTCTCCATTCATTTCGTTTTTTCCTTTTTTGCTAAGAAAGTATTGTCATAAAGCATCATTTACAAGAGCCTCCTGTGCTACAATAGAAGTTATTTTAGTCGGGGCTTCTTCAAACAGTTCCTCTCCTATGGGTTGTCCGCCTTGTAGTCAATGCATCAATAATTTGATTTTGTTTAAAAGTTATACGAAGACTTCTTGTCTTCTGTGCTACCGTATTGGCAAACAAAACAATACTCGCAGTCTCAGCAATACCGGGTCTTGTAGATTACTAGGAGCCGGTCCTCACACCCAATGCTATACGAAATGAAACCAAATGGAATAGAAGAAACCATATGTTGATATGCACAATTTAAATTAAGCAAAAACAGAAGCTGATTTTGAATCAGAGGAATAATCAAATAGTTTGCCATGGTGCTTCAAGAACAGTCGTACAACATTAACCAAAACAATCTTCCTCGTAAACCAAGCAGTACTAAATACAAGCATCATTAGCAACGGAAAAACGTTGGGTTAGGCGAGCCGCGGCACCTTCCGAGACCAGCCCTTGAATCATCAGAGACTTCACTTCCCACGCCGAGTAAGGGAACCCTTTCCTCGCGTACGAGTTCAGCAACGCAGCACTCGCCTGCTTCACCAGCTCACGGAACACGTCCCCTTCTTCGTTCACGTCCCTCGTTTCCAACAATCTCATATCGGATCTGAACCGTTCACTCGCCCTCGACCCGAACACCTTCGATACCGTCGATCCATGTGGGACCATCCTTGGCCAAGCCTCTCTCCTGCTGCTCCAGAACCTGAGGATAATTAACAATCCACATTATGCATCCCCACTAGTCAACGCGGTTCCATAACAAACAGAGTTGTGAGGGAAAAAAAACTGAAACAAATAAGAATTTGATTTTCTTACTCAGGAGTGCATCTTCCTCGGGTTCTAGAGTAGAGAAACCCAGAGTGTCGTCTCAGAGTTGTTGTTGCGGCTGCAAAGTATGTAGTAAGGAAGAGAAAGAGGAAGAGTCGACTCAGCACGAGAGAAGTAGCCATCTTCATAATTTGGTCGGATGGGACTAGAAGACTTCCATTTTGAGGGAGGAACCGAACCGCTGTTTGGGATCTGATTAGGAAATTATTTGTGGGGATGTTCGAAGCGTGCCGCCTGCTAACCTGCTACTTCAACCTTGCTTTTCAGATCAGACTTGACGAGCTGGTCTTTACGTCACGTGGCTGCAGTTTTCGAGATGGATTATTTTAATAAAAAGTTTTGGGCATGTTTGCCCTCCATCGGTTCAATCTTCAAATATTCTTTTTCTAAACAATACAAAATTAATGTATAAATTCTAGTAAAAGTATTTTATATTTATTTAATAAGCAAACAAATATGAACGAAGATTAAACATTTATGTTTCTTTATCGATTCTTTGTTTAGTCGGCATTTCCTTTTCTTTAACAGACGAGTAAAGTTGTTCATTTAAGTTTCTGCATCCTTGCACTACTTGATTTCAAGTGTTGTTGACAAACTCAGAGTCGAAATAGAGTACTCACAATCTCACCGATCATGGCTGCAAACATGATCGCAATGGCAAGACCTCCATTAGTGTAATGATGCCTAACCAAATAACCCATTAGCAGCCACAAAAAAAACAACAAACAAACAACAAAGTAAGTTGCCTCTAATCTCATTCCCTTTGCAAATCCAGATTTATAACCAATCTTTTGTGCAACTTTCAACACCGATTAGTAGACTTGTAAATGCTCTTGATTCACCAACAAAAACTAAAGCAACCTGAACCTGGATTTGAACCATGACTGCAATTTAACTTGCAATTAGCAAACCTTATGGTAAATATCACGAGTGAATCCTAGCTGAGAAACTACACAACAGGAGAAATTCAAAGTTTTCTCTGTTGAAGTTTGTAAAACTAAATGGGTAAATTAAAAATTTGGTAACTGAACTTTTATACTATTCTTATTTTATTCACCATATTTTAAAAAATTTCAATTTGCTCACTCAACTTTATGGATTGAATTTTTCTGATCAATCCTTCGTTATATCACTTAGGGGTGTTAAAAAAAATATCTGACCCGAACTAAAAAAATAGGGTATTTTTCTAAAAAAATACCCGACCATACATTTTTCGGGTCGGGTCCGGGTCACAAAATTTCATTTTTTTCGTATACCCGGTTATCCGAATACCATGTTATAATTATTTTTTATATATTATAATATTAATATTTAATTATTAATAATTTTATATATTAAATTAAACTAATAAAATTTAAAAAAATCCACCCACCCAATAATTGTATGTTTAATAATTAATATAATATTTTTTAATTATATAAGTTTTATTTTTAAAAAATAAAAATTAGGTACCCAATTACCTGAATTACGGGTACCGCAAAATCCGGGTGTCAAGTACCCGCAACATCCATGACTTCGAGTACCCGAATTTAAACACCCCTAATATCACTAACAACTCGTTGACGTGGAATATTTTAATATTAAATATCAGATTTTCACATAATAATAATAAGGCTAAATTACAAATTTGATGACTAAACTTTCATATGATTCCTATTTTACTCACAATACTTTCAAAATTTTCAATTTTGCTCGTTTTGCCTTTAAACTTCTCATCGTCAACAATCGTCCACTGCTGCCCTCATCATTGAACCCATCTCTAGCCAGTGACTGCTCGCACCGACACCTTCAACAGCACTAGCGTCGCCTCCGATTGAATCCCTAGTGGTCAATCGTTAAGGAATCCAGCAGTTAGTCGTAGAGAAACCGTCGAAGGTTCGTCGGGAAACCAAGGCTTCCCATGGGTTTTCATCAATTTTTGGACACCCCAGCCGTCCGTTCATCTCACGCCGCCACCATTGAAGTCATTTCCTCTTTTCGACCAAAACCCAGTCGATTTGCCCTTTCACCGCCGCTGCCTCTGCTGGCCATCCGTTCGTCTAACCCCGCATAGTGACCAAAAAACTCAATCTATAAAGTTCAATGAGCAAATTGAAAATTTTGAAAGTACGATGAGTAAAATAGGAATCACATGAAAGTTTAGTTATCAAATTTGTAATTTACCCAAACTAAATTTAACATTTTTTAATTTTTACCAATCTTTAACGTCTCCAATCAGCTCCTCCATTTGTTTGAACTTTGTAAGAATTGTTGCAAAAGCAAAAATGGTATTCTAAGAATACTCAAAGTTTAGAATTTTCTTGAGTTTTTTTTTTAAAAAAGTAGCGTCCTGGGAAACAATCCAGAACTAGTACAAAAAAAAAATCGTAAATACGAGATGAAAAACTAAACATCAATAACTAAAAAGAAATAATCAAACATAATAGCTCTTATAGAACAACAAAACCTTACTCATTTAGTTAAAGCACACACAATAGTGATGTATGGAATAGAGAATTGGTCGTGCCATTACCGAGGAATTTATGACCATTTTTGCTTGTGGAGTTAACAAAAACCAAATATATAGTGTTAGTGGTGAGTTTATAAAAATATATAGTTAAGTGACCAAAGTGGAAACTTTAAAAAGTTTGTCGACTAATGGTTTAGTTTATCCAAATAAAAAACCAAGGAGGTTTAAACAAAAAAAAAGACCTGTACAACCCGAAACTCCAGAAAGAACGAAACAAAGCATTTAGGTTAAAACCCGGCAATGGTTTCTCTGTCGACTTGGTGTCGATACTTTGTTCATAAGATCGAGTACTCCTTCACTCTCAGCTGGAAGGTAGCATATTCTCTATTTTATCACTCCTCGCATTTAGTATTTGGTTTAGAATTTTTCATTTTTAGGTTTTCTCTAATGCATATGCGGAAAACTTATGATTCCAGAACATTGGGTATGACTTATTTCGTTTTTTTGATGATTTGGAAACGGAGTTTGAGTTCTTTTGATGGGCGTTTTATTGGGTAAATGTGGGGGCTTTTCTTTTTTGGGGTTCGGATAGTTAGCTTATGTTCTCCATTTCTTTTCTAATGCATGAGATTTGTGTTTTGGATTGTTAAACAGTTTTTAATTTGGGGTTTTGAGCATGATTAGTTTCATCATGATAGTGGTTCTGGTTTTGGAATTCCATAATCTGTTTTTACCTTTATGTTCATTTTTTTACATAACAAAAATAATTTATCCCATTGAAATTCTTAGAAAGTGTATGAAAATTCATGGAATATAATGATGTCAACTCAATGGTTTGCTTGAAACCTGTTTTTAGATAGAATATTAAAATCAGTTTTCAGGTTTGATTAGGACAAAGGCTATAACGGAGATACACTATGGAATGCTTTATACTCTTGATGCAAGTGTGATTCTCGAAACCTATTTGATGGGGGAAAAATATTCAAAAAAAAAAAGTCCATCAATGCGGGGTTTGTTAAAAGGTCGAAGATTATATTTAAATTCAGTAGACGAGGGAAAATATGTCAGATTTTTGGTCCCTGGTGAAGATAGTGAGAGCAATCCCTCTTGTTTCCCCCCCCCCAATTTATACCACGCTTTGGCCGAAGCTGAATTCTTTCTGTGGCGATGACTTATCAATATTTCAAGAATAAGCCTGCAATTGCAATTTTTTTACATTAAGTAAATCCTGCAGTGGAGGATTAGAGGGTGTAGGGTTTATACCATTTTTGCATCACTAAATATTTTTCACTAAAAAATTTTGGAAATTTAAAGAGGATGAGAGGGATTTTCAAAAATAGAATAAAGGTTCATCAGCTATATTTGTAAAGTCTTCATGCTTAGTTTATGATGTAGAAATGCTTATAATTGACAATGGAGCTTTTTAAAATTTTAGGTGGCTTCTATGGTTAGTTCATGCTTCCATGTGCTATGCTGCCTAAATTTTAATGGTTTCAGATATTGCTGAACTTTTTATAGGTATTTTCTTGTTAGCATTCTTATACTATTCTAACGGGAACTTCATGTGGAACAGAGCTATAAGAGAGGTCAAATCAGTGACCGGGAATTACAGGACGCTGTTTGGAAAAATGTATTTCAGGGAAAATTGACTTACTTACACTGGAGTAAAGGAGAGGCTATGGCCCCAACTATTGGCGAACAAGGGGGTACTCTTCTTGTACGGAAGATTCCATCCGCAGACCCAAAGTAATGCTCTTTTAGTCTCTTACCGTTCCTGAGAAATAAACTTATGGTTTCATAACTCTGGTTTGAGTTGGTCCATTGCGAATCATAATGAATCCATTTAAATATTTGTGCATCTAACCTCTGAAGGTTATGCTGTTCGTTTAAGTTTAATTATTATATTCATTCTGAGCATTAGTTTAGCACATATATGTGAAGATAAAAAAGGTATTTTACCTTGGCATCCTCACTCATGAGCTTGATGATTCAATCAATGCTCTCCGAACCGAATCTTGTTATTATTATTTTTCTTCTCACCATCCTTTAGTGTTCAATATATCTTTCATATTTACTCATCAGGTTTGGATATGCTTTCAAGAGTTCCTAAATTTATGCTTTTTCTGGACAGTCGCATTTTTGTCGGGGATGTCATTGTCATGAAGGACCCTAACAGATCTGATAACTATCTGGTCAGAAGATTGGCTGCCACTGAAGGATATGAAATGTTGTCTAAGGATGAAAAAGATGAGCCATTTGTTCTTGAAAAGGACCAGTGCTGGGTATTGGCTGACAATGAAAAATTGAAGCCCAAGGTATTATAGAATGTTAGTAATACAACCAATAAAAATTTTGTTTGTTATTCTTATATAAATCGATAAAACAGACAATTATATGGTTCACATATTTTATTCTAGAGGCTGCTTGTTAGCTATTTACATGCATATTTCTCATACCATTCTTAATAATGAATAACAAACATTATTCAACTTTTTATATGGCTTTGAAGAAGCTGATCCATATTCTCCATTATGCTGTCTTCATTTTTTTTTGTTTGAAATGATAGGAAGCTAAGGACAGTCGGTTATTTGGTCCTGTTCCCATGACTGACATAGTTGGCCGAGTTATATATTGTATGCGAGCAGCTGTTGATCATGGTCCTGTTCAAAATAGGTAACTCCTTTATGGTAATTATTTAACTACAAACCATTGATTTCATATTAGGTAAAAGTTTTGCTAATTGTGTTGAAAAATTTATGTTACAGTTATCACAGTATGCGAAAGGATTCTCCGGTGTTGGAAGTGGAGCTGGATGTCGATGACATGGTGAAG